TTCCCTTCTCCTTCATCCCCACCCCCTCCCAACTAACAACCCTCAGTTCTTCCTCTGTGTCTCTGAGACTATCTCCATCCACTTCTCCCATCCATTCCGTTCCTTAGAATCCACGTATAAGTGAGATCATACAAGAACCAACAGTCTTTTGCATGAGAATGATGTTGAGTTTTAGTTTAAGATACAAATATAAAGAAGCTTCTTGGTTGATTTTCTATACATGATTTTGGTTGCCTGTTTTCAGTGCTCAGACATTTTGAGTGCTGCGTTTGGTCTGGGCAGAAAGTATCAGTGATAACGAAAGTGAAGTGTCATAAAACAAGAACCGCACTGGAGGAAATAACGACAGCAGCGAGAAGAAGACCTGTTCATTCTGACCAGGGCCCAGAGGAAGCTTCACAGAAATCAGTGGCTTTAGAATGAGACTTGCATAATGAAAGAAGAGGGAAGGGAAAAACATTCCCCGATGGACAGTGAAGTAAAAACCAGAGGTGACAATGTAGTGTGTTCTGAGAAGAGCCAAGATTTGCTGCAGCTGAGTAGAAATGATGTGGGTGAGGAATGGAGATGAGTCTAGGCCGGTGGGAACAGCACTTTGGGGGAGGGTTGAATATTGAGAGAAGAATTTGGCTTTTATTCTGCCCAATAGTGCAAGTTAAATTCTTAGCTCAATATTCAAGGACAGGAACCAAGGAAAAAGATATAGACAAAGTGTATTTGAGGGCAGATCAATGGGTGACATTTCTCAGGAAGTATAGAGCAGTAGGTCTCCACCATGTGGGACCTATGACCCCTACTGACTGACACACACACACACCTACCCAGAGGGGCTGTATAACACCTGTAAATCATTGATTTGTACTTACCTCAGCCAAACCCAATTTTGCCAAACTTTTTCTAGTATTTTTGAAAAAATTATTTTTGTCTTTCCTTAATACAAAATATTGCAAAAATGTTTGGTTTGTCAAATTATATTAATGCAACACTCAAACTATTGAGAAAAATGTAAATTTCTAAAGTCATTTTGTGAACAGTTTGGCAATGTCTTCAGCACCTAGAACTGTCTGACACTAACAAAACTCAATATGTTTTGTTAAAGTCAGATAGTCTAATTGGGAAACTGGGAGAGTCATCTTCCAGTGATTTTATTTTTTTTACTTCTGGAATAAAAATAAATTATTGAATGAATTATTAAACAATGAAGGTTTGGAAGTTATTTTAATGAAGATAATTTATACTTAGGAATTTAAAATGCTATTAGCAGTTAACACAGTAAACAGATTTGGAAGATACTTTAATGACATTAAGCTGAATTTAGAAAGTATGAGTTATAATCTTACAGTATTTGCACTGCTCAGTTTTTAAAGAAGTGGATCTCTGGACAATTTCCTTCTTTGAACAAATTACACTCTACTGCCCTTTTTTGGTACAGCTTATGGTTTAAAGATCTCATAATGACTCAAAATTGTTTGAGATTTTTATGTCCAATGTCATAGTGTCTACATTTCTGAGGAATTTAACTCTGTGAAGTTCTTACAACAATATTAGTATGGTATGTGTTGTAGTCTTGTTTAATTTCTATCTTGAATTCAGAAATTCAAATAAGTGGGGATGGTCTGGAGGTCAGTGGTAAAAACATTTTGCTTGGATACAAAACTGTTTCCTGTAACTTGACACTGAGTTGAAAGACCCCTTGGGGATAAACATGTTTTTCTTTATGGCTTCATAAACAGGTTTTATGAAAGCCAAGGACTGACATGCTTTTCAAGCAGCCTTTCTTGATTGCTGTCATTTATGGGGCTAAAAAGCACCCATTGGAACTGGAATAGAAATGACCACCACCAAGGAAAGCAATATTTGGTTGGCATCACTGACATTTTAAAAATAATGCTTATTAATTTCTTTAAAACTTTCAGACATTTCCGTTTTTCAACCATCAGCAACATCCTGAAGATCCTATCAGGTCATACTATCTTGTCTTCTGATCAGATGGCAACACCTCCAGAGGAGGAGGGTTGGGGTTCAGAGCACAGCCTGGCGAGCCGCGCGCTCTGCTGTGACTTGGCCCTGCCACTCATTGACAGTGCAGTGTGCCCACCGGCAAGTTACTAAACTTCCCTGATCTCAGTTTCCTAACTGGTAAAGTGGGGTAATAATAGTACCAACCCCATAAGGCTGTTGTGCCTATTAAAGAGTAAAGTGGCTATAACAGGGCCTTGCAAATAGTAAACACTTTGAGTATTAACTGTTATTTCCCTGGATCCACTCACTTCCATCGTGCTTAGTTGCACCTGCTCTTATGTCTTTTATTATTGCCTAAAACATGTTACAGGTTCTTCACTCTCACTTCTAACTCGAGTTGATAAATTAATTCTACACTCTAGGACATTGACCTCTCCCAAGGTCATTGGCAAAGCAGCTCTAGGTTTATCTGCAAATCAAGATGTCCCTGGAGAACACCATCCCCAGCCTCGAAAGGTGTGGCTATGCTGTTTGCAGGCTTCCCTTACAAATGTTTCATGATCTTTCCCCACCACATACTTTCTTTCTCTGTGTGTGTGTGTGTGTGTCTGTGTGTGTGTGTGTGTGTATTACATACAAGGTGTGATAAAAAAATACGATGAATGTTAAATTTAAAAAATTTATTACAGTAAAAGAGACACTGCCATTAATCCCCCTCAAAATACTCCCCCTTGCTTTGAACACATTTATTCCCATCATTCTTGCCACTTTCTGAAGCAGTTCTGGAAGTCCTCTTTCGTGAGTGTCTTTAGTTGCACTGTCGTGGCTGCCTTGATGTCCTGAATCAATTCAAAATGATTACCTTTCATGGTCTTTTTGACTTTGGGGAAGAGCCAGAAGTCACGGTGCCAGATCCAGTGAATAAGGTGGATGAGGATGCAGTGTGATGTTTTTATTTGGCAGAAATTGCGGTACCAGAAGTGATGTGTGACACAGAGCATTGTCATGGTGGAGGATGAAACCATTTGCTCATTTCTCAGGCCGTTTTCTACTCACATCGTTTTTTAAACACTCTAATAAGCCCTTATAAAATTTAGAGTTCACCATTGTGTTCCTGGGTACAAACTCAGCTCGCTCAATTCCATCAAGGTTAAACAACGCAATTAACGTCTTGATATTATGAGTAGCACCATTCACCATATTTTTTTTATCATACCTTGATACATATATATAATACACTTGAAATATTTGACTTTGTTAATTGCTGTTTAATTGTTTAATTTAAAAAATATTAATGGAAACTTATTTACTTGGTTGTTTATGGTGAAACAAGGGTGAACTTTCCCAACTGTCTAGCCTTCTACCAGGTATGTACCTATGTATTCAGTTCTACACCCACTCCCTTTTAAAGACCTTTCAAAGATCCAGCTTTTTTTTTTTTTGCAAGGGAGAGGCATATGGTAGACATATGCCTCTGAGTTAATATCCAGTAGCCATTCTCATTTCTTAGTAAGAGAAGACTTATTTTGGGAGGAGGGAGGGTGAAAGGTGGGTAATGCAGCCACCTAAAATGCTACACATCTCTGAGTCTTCTTGCAGCTACGTGTGTCCATGTGGGAAAGTCCTAGCTAGTGCGATTTATTCAGAAATGTTGTATGGGACTTTAAATAAAGTTGTTGAGTCAGCTGTGAGGTGTGGATTTTGCAGCATTTCTCTTGTCAGAAATCAAATGTGATAGTTGAAAGTCCAGCCACCATCTTGGAACAAGAGGTGACTTTGAAGATGGAAGCCAGGCTAGAATAATGCAGCAGCAATACGCCCGAGGTCTTTATGATCACAATGCAGCTATCCCAGCCCTAGACTGCTCTCCTCTAGGCTATTATATGACAGAGAAATAAATTTCTCTCTCCCTTAAGCTACTGATACTTAAGCTTTTCTATTATAGATAGCTGTATGGAATCTTCATAGATCTAGGGGAACTGTATTTCTGTGCTCCCAGAAGTGGGTCTCCATCTGGGACAGTTTAAACGAGAGTTCAGCAAAGACTTAAGGGCAGGGAGCATGTGAATGGATGGGTCTCTTGTTGAATGAGCAATGGTCAAAGTGCAGTCAACAGTGAGGGTGTTGTTGCTTCTCTGCCAGGGACAAGATGATGAGCTCATAGGAATAGTGAGCGATGGTCACCAGGTGCTGGCTGGCTTCTGGATGTAAGCATTCGTCCTCTTGAAAGGATTATAAACTCTGTTCTATTTCCCTCAATGCTTCTATTCTTAAAAGCTAGGGAGTCAAAAATAATATTATAAATAGTTTCTTTCTCTTTAATTCCTGTTCTAACTATCTTCATTCTCTGGTCAATATGATTGCTTCTGACTGATGGGTGGGAAGGTCAGGAAGTAGGGGAGAGGAAGACACAAGGATTAATATTTATGATATTATCTCACTATAAGTACCTGCCACCAGGGAGCTTTCTAACATTGTGGTAATATGGAAAAAAAATTGCACAAGTAAATCACAATCAGTGTAGTTTCTGTTCATTTTTTTTAATGCTAACAAAAGGAAAATATCCATCAAATCTCCTAAATATTATATTGAGCATACCTATTTTAAGAGAACATTCTTAAAAGGAGAAACTATGGTACAGTAGCTCTTGTCAAAGTTAGTAGGTCATTATCAACATTTAGTAGATCATTTTATAAAGGACAGCCAGCTATTTGAGTATAAAGCTTTGCCTGTTTACCATCCTCTTGGAAGCTACTTGTAATCACACTGCTTCCTATACTTTTGGTGGCATTCCAAGTGAATAAAAGTATTGTTTTCCCTAAGGAGTTCATTGTAGAATTCTTAATTTCTTTCTTACAGGGTTTGCAGCTGGAGATGTCTTATAGCAAACTCTTTACACTGAGAATGTTGCAAGAGCCAACAGTGCAGCGTGTCCATGAGATGGTGGGGAGGTCACAACTGCTCTAGGTAAGGAGGATGGGGTAAAAAAAATCTCAAGTACTATTGTAATATAATTGTGAGAATTGGTGAGGAAAAAGGAAGAAGATTCCATGGATGAGTGTGTGACCGGGTAAAAGTACGAGTCTACTTTCCCTGGTGTCAGAGTGCTACCCCCTCTTTGTTCTCCTCTGGTATTTGACAAATTTGATATTCAACTTTAATCAACAAGAGTTCCAAATACTAGTAGAAATAGCTGTAGGCATGTACCTGAGATGTAATGAAAGTAACCGTTTTCTCTATTTCTGGGTCCTAGCTATGGCATCTTTTCTGCTCTCTGAATTTTAAGAAGATACTAGAACTTTATATGATTCATTCAGCAAATAATTATTGACATGTCATCCTTCCCTCCTTTCAGCACAGATGTGATTTTTCTCTGTTTTTATTTCTTTTAGTTATTTCATTCTTCCAGTCCTGATAAGAGCTTGAGTGGAACTGGGTGTCCGGAAATTCTCTTTCCTACTCTGGGTGTCAAGCCTTCAGCAGAGGCTCGTCTGCAGCCAGGGTTTGTACCTGGAGAGGGCTCACTCGCTCCACTAGCTGCTGCCCATTAGCGCAGAATCCTCATGTCACCTGTCCTTCCTTCCATCAAAAACCCAGCGGGTGAGTCAAGATCTAACTTTTCTTGGCTTATTTACTTTATAATGAGATAAATTCTGTAAATCACGCATTCTTCTGGTTTGGTCACGCTAGCCAATAAAAGTGTGATCTTTGGTAACTGTTGAAATAAAACACACATACTACTGTATTAAGGATAGAAAAGTATATAGAGGTAAAAATATTCAAATCGAAGGCTGACACCAGCTTTACTTTCTAGAAATCCCCAGCTCAACTTTATATAATCATAGGCAGAAATTTCAGAAATATTCTTCTCATAGGCAAGGTGAAAAAAAATTTTTTTAAATAATATTTCCAATACTCTAATGAGATTTCTTTTCTTTAAACATTTGTCTCTTTTTATGTACTTTCCTGTAACCTTTTCTTTACTGTGTAACCTTGAATCTGGGAGTCATGTTCCTAATTCCTTCTAAAACGGTTTCATCTTTTTTTCCCAGCCTGCCTGCCTTCTAACAGAACTGGATATAAACACTCCTGTAGAAGTGATTACATATTTCTCACTAGTTAATTAACAGAAATTCAAAAACTGAAATGCTTGAAGCATCTGTGCTGCTTTCAATTCCAGAAAAGGGATTTTTATGATACTACTTAGCAAATAGTAGGCCCACTATAAATGTAAACTCTCTTCCTTCTTTCAATAAAAAGCCTTTAACTACCTTCAAGGAATTTTGTATTGACCATTTGGCTTTGATTTTTATATCTTCTTTTCAGCTTCTCAGAATCTGAATTTCTTTGATAAGCCTACTTTTAAAATAAATCATATGAGAAAGTCTAACTATTTTTAAAAACTTTGCTAATCATTGTTTTTTTCCTTAGGGCCATTCATTCACCTGTTTTGTTCACTTAGATAAAACCTAAGAGAACATACATTATGATTTTCAAAGTCATTTTGAAATAGTGGAAACCCTGCCCAACGTTTAAAGAAAAGAGCTTACTGTAATAGATTTTTGAGGGGTATCCTAGCAACCACTCCATAGTGAAATTTATCAATTTCTCTGAGAGGATTTTCACTAACTCCATGAAAGAGACTTCAATTTTAAATTCTTAGAACCATTTTTTTCTACATTGTTCCAAGAATTAGATCTTTTTAGATATCTTTGCTCTTGAGACTTCATTTAATGACCATTAAAAACATATTTGATGGGCCAGCCGAGTGGCACGTTTCTTAGGAGTTGGCTTGGGACACCAGCTCTGAGCAGCAGGGCCCCAGTTCGGATCCCGCATGAGGCCAGTGATGCTGCGCCCTCTACTGTTAAGATGGTAAACAACAGCTCGACCTGGAGCTGGTTGCTGTGAGTTGCCCGGCGACGGTGTGGGCTGCAGTGGGGCTGGAAGAGCGCAATGTTAATACCAACATGGGCCAGTGAAGCGACGTCCTCCACAACTAGATGAAGAACAAAAGGACAGCAACTTGTCTGTTCCCCTCCCCCAATTCCCCAATAATAAAATCTTTGGAAAAAAAACCAAAAACATATTTGATGTTATCCTGCTCGGGCTAGCTCCTTAAATGGCACTGGATTCTACCAAATCATTCATAGGTAGGTAGATAGATAGAGATAGATAAAGAGAATATCTTAAAATTGTAAAACAGCCTAAAACTTACTACAAAAATAGAATATATGTTTGTGTTTTTTGGCTTTACTTCTGTATATGCAAAAATATAGGGCAAAACATTCTTGTTCCTAAGGAAATATTGACAAAAACTGAAGCTTGGAAAGTATGTTCATACTTGCTAATCTTGGTTTTTCTGCATGCTATAAAAAAGAGAAGATTTATTTGGTTGTGTTTTCAGGTATTAGTTGTTTTCAAATTGATGATTTAAAAAAAAATTCTGAATGCAAATAAAAGTAGACATTTCTTTCTCCCAGGTGTGTAGAAGAGCCAAACGTGAAATAGCAAGAACTGAGCTCACCTTCTGCAAGCAGGATTCAGAACTGAACGGGCTATTAAAATGAAAGAGCATGAACAGTGCAACTCTGGGTAACCAGGGAATAATGCCTGCCTAGAAACTGTATGTGTGTGAGCAAGACTTATTTTTATCTTCCTGCTATTGAAAAGCAATATGAAATTGCCATACGCATTGATCTATGAGGATGTAGAATCCATACATTGTATACAAGGCAGTCATTTGGTGTTGCCTAGGTACCGATGTGGACGTTTGTATAAGTACACACATGTATACAAGCAGTGAATTATTTTCATTAACCTTCAAATAATTTCGTTATAGGGAGAGAATATCCGTGATCTAGCAGGCTTACTGATAATGCTTCCTTAATGTGTTCTGGCGAATGAAGCATTTAGGAGTCAATCTTTATAATGATAGCCTGCTTCTGGCTACATGCCCATTCACAGAGTTAGAATTTATAGCAAATGCTTTTTCTTTTAAAATATTTAGGTGTTCAATTAAAGTTTGTTGATATCACCATGCTAAGTATTCTTTCTGAAAATTTTATTGAACTATATAGTCTGAATTATTTAAAATGTTATTCTTTGAGCTGTGTTAACATCGCCTTAGCTAGTCACATCCTTTTTCTTTTTCTTTTTTCATCCATTTTTAACTTGTTGTTTTTAAATATTACTTCTTAAACTTTTTATCTTTGAGCACATTGAATCCTGCTTTATTTGTTTTCCTCTGGTTTTTCTGGAGGGAGCTGGCTTATTGTTAGTTTTTGGTATGTTGTTGATGATGGCAGCAAGGGAGTCTGGGTACAGGGTGACAGTGGCAGAAAGTGCCCACACCTTGGAGGGGGGACGAGATTGAAACTATCCACTTCCCCAAATGGGCCTCCTTTTTTGTCTTCTTTCATTTCGCACTCCCTTAGTGTAGGTTCTCCACACAATCTCAGCCCGGGTGATTTAAGAATCCCATAGACTAGGAAGGTTTTTCAAGGCAAAAGTATCTCATTTGTTCAAACAGCACACTTGAATTCCCATGGCCTTAGGCAGCCTTCAGTTTACAACTCACAAAACAGCAACTATTTATTGAACAGCGATTGTGTGCTGACTGTGTGCCATATATTTGCTGTAAACTAGATATCCAGAACTCAGAAAGCCTTTACCCAAAAACATTGCCATTCTTACATCTACGTTCCTAAGTGAGTCAGCAAAAGCCCAGGGAATGTGGGCCAGCTTAACAACTGTTTAATTAATCCTTCCCCTCCCTTCTTTTATTTAAAAGCAAACAAACAAAAAGTCCTGGCATACTGAATCTCTTTCTGTATACAGTTACAGATACAGACACCAATGCCTTTTAGTATGTATTTTGTTTTTAGTGAAGCTGAACAAATTAATGAGCATCTCCCTAAAATGGCCTAAATGGGAGATCATCAAAAGATTCCAGAAAGCAAAGAGTGCCAAATAGAAAGTAATGTTTCTTAATTATTTCTTAATTAATGATTAGTTAGTAAGTAGTATTACTAACAGGTTTACGCTCAGTCTTGATGATCTCAAACTAATTTATCCTTAATAACTTAAATTTCTCAATTTCCGACTCTACGGGATTGCAGGCATCAGCCACTGAACTGGAGAACTGAATACTGAAAGCCATGAGAAATAGCACAGTGATGTCGCAATGCCCTGATTTCAAAGAGGAGAGCATTAAACTATGTTAAAAACAAAACTGTTGTTTTGAATGCTGGTGCTTAAGGAAAGGCAAGTCTAATTAGAGGAGGATGAAGAGGTTCCAAATGGGACTTGTGGCTACTTTCAAAGGCTTGAAAAGCTGGTGGCAAAGATTCCTTTTGAACCCATTTCTTTTCAATGTGTCTATGAGTCTGGACCCTTGCCCCTTTCCCCTGCCCAAGCTTTTATCTTGACTCATAAATGGAACAAAATGTAATAAGAAATGGGGCAGAAGAAAGAGTCCTGAGATAAACTGGCAGAAAGTGGGAAAAGGAAAAAAAGCAGGGGATCAAAGGATATTGAAGGCGAAGATTTCTTAGAGCAGAACTGAGAGTAAGCAGAGAAACAGGAAATCGAGTGACAGAGATGAGCAAGGGAGAAAAGAGAGTCAGGGAAAGAGAAAGTAGTGGGGATGAGGGAGTGGAGAGGAGGGGAAAGGAGGAGAGGAAATGGGGGCAGGAGATTCTGTGTAGATGTGGTAGCAACCTCTTGTTACGTGTTGCAGAACACTTCTGATCTCATAGTCCTTTAAACTAGGGTCAACGTGGTGCTGTGGACCTGGAAGGGCTGGTTTTAAGTCAGAGGAACCTGAAGTCAGGATGGTTTCTGGCGCTCGTTCTTAATGCTGGCTGCACAATAGATTCACCCAGGAGCTTTTAACTTTTAAGCTTTAACGCTTCCTGGACCTGACTCATGTCTCAGAGGAAGGCACTGATTAGCTTGGGGAGAAGCCTGGGTGTTTTTGAAAGCTCACCTGGTAGTTCCAATGCGCAGCCAGGTTGCAAAAGTCAGCCTGAACATGGAGAACCTTGAGATGGGGTCTGGAGACATTAGTGCAGCAGGCAACTGGCTACTTGTGTTTGTGGGATGCTGTTTGTAGGCTAGTTGTCGCCTTTTCGCATGTCTGCATCTAAGTGCTTTGTTTGTACCAGTTACTTTGAGAAAGGAGACCTGCAGGGTGCTCTCCACTGCTCACACTTTCTAAGCAGTTTGGGTTCTGCAAAAGTCATAGAAAAATGTGGTGTTCAGTACAGTTATCAAATAGCTTCTTTCAACCACATAACTTTTACCTTATAAAATTTTTATAAAATGAATGTTCTCGTTCTGCCTTTGGTGACCTCTTCTGCTGCTCAGAGATACCAAAGGGAAGAAAGCCCCTTAGTTTTCGACTGTCAATTAACATTGTGAAATCTCTCAAACAATACAGAAGTCTGTAATTGGTCAATAAAAAGTTACTGCAACTGGATTTTTGAAGCAGGAGCCAAGAAATTTGAAAGAAAAGATCCTTATTAGCTAAGTTATCATCATCATTATTATTTAATAGCTATTTTTATTGAGCACTTATTATGTGTCAGACATTGTATGAGGTGCATTACGTAGCAAGTCTCATGTCATTCACACAACTCTTTCTTCGGGATTCAAATGTTGTTGACAGCGATTACAAAAGTCAGAGTGAACATTTGAAAGAGTCTTGTTTATATTCCCAGAGAAATTACGGTGGTATAATGGAATCTTTGTCTGAAAGTTAGAAACCTGGGAGAGCTTATTCATTTCTCCAAGTTGTGGTTTCTTTATTTATTAAATGATGTGCTCAGAGTGATTGATTTTTATAAATTTATGGAAGTCCATGGTAAGAAGTAGTTGGATATAACTATGAACTGTTGAGTGCAATGCTATTGTGTTTTTGGTGGATGGTGCTTTACAATTTCTATTATAAATGTTATTATTTTTTATTCTCACTCACAGCTCCCTTGCGAGGTAAGCAGGATAAATATCACCTCGCCATTCCTGGGAGCAAGCCTGGGAATGTTATTCTTTCTTGAGAAATGCTACAGAAAGAGCAGTCAGTTTTTGGTTTGGTTTTTTTTTTTTTTTTCTTGCAGTGAAGGCAGTGGGAAAAGTAAATGAGAGGTTCCCTGATTGCTAAAACAAACACACAAAGAAATGTAAAAGCTTGACTTTTTCACTATGCACTGCAAACATGATACACATTTTCATTTTACTAAAGAAGAAATCATGTGAATTGTTTCTCTCTAAAATACTCTACTTGAAAAGGCAATTCAGTCTCCTAGCAACTAACACTTCTACAAATGAGAAAAATGTCTGGCGGAAGGGAGAAGCTACAATTACACACAATGAATAGAGGAGGATTCCCATGGGCCTGGAAGAGAATCATAAAGGGTATCTCAGCCCATTTCCATTCTCCCAGAAGTGTCAGCTTCTGGGATCCTCAGAGGCTCCAAACAGGGTCACCTGCAAGGTCAAATGTAGCGTGACCTACCTTATGCTACACCTGGTGCAGGGGTCTCTTTCTTTCCCACCCTCTTGGAGCTGTGCCCTTTCTAAGGGAGCCACATTTTTATAAGCAAGGTCTGCAAATGCTCTGGAGCAGCACAGTTCAAAATGGTAGCCTCTAGACTCACTTGGGTATTTAATTTTAAATTCAAATTCATTGAAATGAAATGAAATGAAGTGAAATGTCAGTTCCTCGTTCACACAAGTCACATTTCAAGTGCTCAACAGCCGCATGTGGTGATGGGTACCATGCCGGACAGTTCAGACTTGGATCATTTTCATCCCACAGAGAGTTCAGTGCTGGGCCACTCTGCTGTGCAGAGAGCCTGCAGAACAGATCTGAATGGAGCAAGGGCAGTTAGGGAGGGGTTGGCTGGGTGAGGAGCCGGGCTATTGCCTCCCTGAGTTTTACCTCCACCTTAAGATTCTCCTCACCTATTTCCACATTTTTCTGATAGACCTCTTCAATAAGGAAAGTGATTCTTGTAACTGGTAAGTTATGTTATGAATGTGACTGAGGGTAGCAGAGGGGAAAGCTGTGAAAGGACAAGTGTCTTTTTGCACCAAGCAATTGTTGTTTTCTGCAGATTTACATCTATAGCAGCTAAGGAACAGCAAGTCACAAATAACAAAATGCTCCCTCAAGATAACCCACTCCGGCTAGTCTGAGAGCCTTAAAAGTGGTTATTTTGGGTCCTATTTTTGGGCGCTGGTATTTGCCTGGCACATGAGGCAATGCTGACACTCATGCATGGGAACGAACAAGGGTTTGCAGACAGATTGGGATATTTTCCTGGATTTCCTCATCTCTTTTTCCTTTTTCCTCCTCACACACTGACTGGATCAGCTCCTTGGGTGCCCCATCTTATAAAATAACTTAGTGCCTTGGAAGAGAAGATGAAGCAGAAAAGGAAGGAGTGCAGCGATTCTGTATTCTGAATCCATCTGCACCGACATCCCAGGGCTCTGAACATCAGGACACGTCCGCGAAGCATCTGGCATAGACTTCCGCCAGCATGAATTCCCCCACTGGCGCCTTCACTCCTACGTGACTGTGGGGGGCCCAGCAGAGCCAATACGTGCCTGTGCAAAATGGACACTCTCCTTCCTGACAACACTGTTCATTTTGGATGGAGGGACTTCTGCCAACACTGTGATGGATAACTCCGCTGAATCCATATGTCACTATAGTCAGAGAAAGTTCTCACAATAAAATTTTTCATTTTAATTCCAGGGCTTTCATCATGAAGGACACATTTATAAAAATTTATCTTATGCCCCTACAAGCAGTTCAAGATTGGTAGTTTCTTTTTCTATAGGATTGAAAAGTCTTCAAAAAAAATTTTTTTTTTCTTTTCACATTTGTCTCCAGAAGTAATTTAATTTGAGAAAGTATATGTCAGCCTGGGAGGTGAAGTAGCAGAAGCAAAAGCAAGAATTCTCTGAAACGCTGAAGAAGTCTGCATAACATGCGGATTATTAACAAATGGCCAGGGGCAAGGGCTTGGTGAACTGATGTACCCATAAGACACTGGGCATGTCAGTGATTGAGCAGCAATGCCAGCAGGGAGGGTGTTTGCTGACATGCTCAGAAAATAATGCAGTACCCATATTTCTGCCCATGGGGAATCAATTTTAAATTAGAGTCCAAGCAAGAATTGATCCATCACACTAGTGGAGGCTTAAAGCGCTCCGCTTTCTACATGGCTGCAACATGCCGAGAGGGGACCCTGGCAAAGAAAAACCAGATTCCTAGATCTGGTGGAGAGACGAAACACTGGAGGCTGATCATCTTGTTTCCTTCATAATGAGAGCTGGCAGCCAGCCATCCAGAGCAGAGTAAGGGGAAGAAGCACAAACCACCGTCCTGGAAATCAATGAGCAAATAGTCACTCAAGGAGAAGAATTGTGAATAATCACAGGACTCACCTTGGTGACCTTATTTTTATGCAAGTCAACCTTAGTCCTCGAGCCCCTATTTCTGCCTAGTCCTGGAAAAAAATCATCTTGCCAACTCAACAAAATTCAGTCACTTCTGGTTTGAAATGGAGTCAGGTCAGGATGTAAAGTTATTCACGTAGCTGTTTTCTGGGCCCTCCCTCTTTACACAATCACCTAGACATATGCACACTTCCTTCCGGTAATGGAAATCTGGGACATAGCTATTTTTCTCTCCTTTGGCTCATATTGTCACAGGGTCCTCTGTGAAGCTGTCTTCTAGAACTCCAGACAGGAATTGGGGCCCAGGCCTCTGTGCTTTTGGAGACCTCAACATGCTTGGAATTTCAACTGCCCCTTTTGGGGATGAAAATGCAGATAAAGAGGAATGGACTTATGTGGCACACAGACTGGCCATTCAATTGGTGCCTAAGTGCCTCTGCTCTTTCTCACCTTCTCCATCCTTCTCCCTCCAGTCCAGGGAGGGT